CCTATGGGAAGGATGACAGGAATTAGGGGGAGATGGGGGGCCTGGGCGGGAGTCCTGGACCTCATGCTCCGCTGGGGCCGAGCCCATCACGTGAGTTGGATTGCCCTGACACATGGACAGCCCTGGGCGGCGTTTCACGGTCCCGTGCTGCAGCACGCTGCGCTGCGCTGCTGCATTGTTGCGGCGGTTGATATGAATTCGGCTCCACGCTAGCGTTGCGAGCTTCCAAGCGAGCTTCCGAGTCTGTTGATGTTTCCATGGAAATTGGAAACCCAATGCGCCGGTGCGCGCAACGCACCCTGTCCAAGCAAAATTTTACCATCGATGACCTCTGGTGACATGACCTCTGGGGCTCTGGCTCTGACCCGATCTAAAATTGGCTGAAGTATTTTTCTTCTTTTTGCTCCTTTTTCACGCTACTTCGAATACCACTTAAATGCCCAAAGCTGAGTTATAAGTATGATGCTCAATCCCCATTTCCCCTTCAACAGGGCGTGAGAGTCTAAGCATTCCTGTGGGGCAAGGGCTAACAATGACTATCTCATAATCATTGTGGCCATGAACATCTACTACCATTCTTTAACACCGGTTTCGCTGCGCTGAGCGATGGCCGTCTTGGTTGTTGAATTCTACAGCTGGCTGGCGGAAAGCGTTAAGGTTAAGCTACACTATACGTGACCGTCCAGGAAATTACGTGCGTAATCTGCAGATCCGTGATTGCGAGACTTCCTTGATATTGGTTTCTGCGTTTTTCCAGAATTTCAGTGAATTATCATATGCTAACGTAGGCATGCAAATAATGAGTGCAATCTCAATAAACAAATAATTTTGCCTTTCAATATATTTATTTTATGACTAAAATGCCCATTTTGTTAATAATATGTCAATACTAGATGGCATATTTTGCGCTATAACTGTGCGTTTTGATAGATGCATTTGATGGGGAATTAGTTTTGGGTGTGGGAACTTATTATTTTTATTTGTCTTATTTTGTCAGAGTTGGATATTTGTTTGAACGGCATGTTATGCTGGTGCTGGTTGCGGGTTGTTAGAGCCTTTCTCATGGTTTGCCTTTATCGAACTCAAACCCACCCTACCCTACCCTACCCTACCCATACCCTAACTTACTAATAACCTACACATAGTTACCCTTCTCATACTCGATTAAAGTAACGTACTAAATTTAAGCGCAATCGGCCCAGCTGTTCTTGAGATATAAAAGCGGCCCACTGCACGTGCGCACGCGCTAACTGAGACTCTAGATGACTTGTGCCAGCCACCATTCTAAATTGTTCCTAACGGTGTACAAAATTTGAGCGAAATCGGCCCAGCCGTTCTTGAGATGTATAAGTGGACCCCTCACGTGCGCACGTGCAATCGATCCACCCTACCTGTCACACATGACCATGCATCGCCAGGTGAGTGCCCCCTCCACCCACAGTCCAAGTTTCAGCGCAATCGGCCCAGTAGTAGCTGAGTTATTCCTAGTACAATAATGTGCTGTTTACCGGTAGGCGCTTATTTTCACTGTTTGGAATTCCCCTTCGCGGGCGGTGCATTGCAGCCCATGCTTTGATAGCTATTTGTCAAAAGTTGTATGACCTGCCGGCCATAAGCCATCGATCGGATTTTGTCGAAAAATACCTGTAACGTTAACAAAACACGGTCGTCTGTTTGAGTCATTTTCACAAAAGTTTATTGACTTTTCGATAATATTTTGGGTGGATATTGGTCAGAAAAGAATGCTCTTTCCGAATATGTAGGTTTCATAGCCATTGGTCAGCGTTTTCAATACGTTTTGATGTTGTAAAGGATATCGCGCTCCGCGCGAATCAAATTTTCCAATTAATGTTTCATTATTAAGGAAATGGTACGGAATACGGATCATCACTTTTTATTTGATTTCCTATCATTACACGTACATTTGTCTGTAAAATTGTACCACACCGATTTCATTCCGTCAAACTGTTTTCCAGCGGCATCCATTTTCCCGTCACAATGCACGAAATCGGTCATTTTTTTACAACCGGGGGTGCTGTCTTGCACGTGGCGCGTGCTATACTATGAACCCATATCGATACGCTAGTTCCATCTCTCCTCTACCCATTGGTGGCAACCGCTTCTCGCTCCGACCACCCGTTGCCGAGATATCAAGCCGGAAGGCTAGCCGTATCGGCCCGATTTTCGGCCGACCACCGGCCTCGCCGACCCAGCTGGGTCGGCGAGGCTTATAGGCTCGCCGACCCAGCTGGGCTTAACACTAGTGTTAAGCCTATGAGAGAGAGAGAGAGAGAGAGAGCATTTATTCACACTGCAACAACATAAAATTCATAAATTACATAAGCAATTGGCGCAAAAGTGCTACGCACTTAACTCTTTGGCGCCGCTTGCAAGAGCGCCCATTTGCACGTGCCGACGGCGCACCCCTGGGCCAATCCGTCCCAAATTTTAATACAGAGGTCACATCAACCCACAGATTCGACATGCCAAATTTCACGTCGATGCGCGGCGCCTTTCAGGCGCAATAAGACACATAAGACATGACACACGGATGCACGTCGTACAGACATGTTATAAATCATAATATAGATCCGACAACATGTAAAATTAAATCACAATAAATATTACGTCACTTGTGTTGAGACGGTGCGCCACCAAGTGCGCCCAGAGCTGTCTCATGTCACGCAAGCATGCAGATTCTGGTAAAAAGTTCGGAGCTCTGAAATTTATATCGGTACGGAACATCCTGACCGTCCGGACTATCCGGCATTTCCTGTACTGAACGTCCGGGATTTCCTTGACTGAATCTGCGTGACCCCAGTGTAGCCGACCCTGGTATTTCCTATCAGCTGAACTTCATCCGCGTGCCGATTTTCTGCAAAACCCGCAAACTCGTAGATCACGCACGTAATTTCCTGGACGATCACGCATAGTGTAGCTCGGCCTTTACCGGCCGCCCGTCCACCGCCCGCGGGCCGGACCGAGCGGTCCTGACCCTACCTGACCTGATACCGGCGCGATATGGGACAGGCAGACGGGGGTTCGGCTCAGCTGAGGCAGCGCCCACCATAGGCGGCGGAACGGGGAGGGCACCGGGGCACCGTGCCCCCCTTTGATTTAGGCATTTTAACATTAGCCCTATGGGCGTTGTATGGAAAGAATGGGACCAAAAGTCGGCAGTGTCCCCCTTAATTGAAGGTGTTCCGCCACTACTGGCGCCCACTGGTGCTGGGGACTTTTTAAATAGACCTTCTCTTCATGCATACTGTGCTGTAAGCCGTTGTAGTACTATGCTGTGTTGTTGAGCCGCTGTAGTACTATGCTGTGCTGTTGAGTACTATGCTGTGCTGTTGCGCCGCTGTAGTACTATGCTGTGTTGTTGCGCCGCTGTAGTACTATGCTGTGCTGTTGCGCCGCTGTAGTACTATGCTGTGCTGTTGAGCCGCTGTAGTACTATGCTGTGTTGTTGAGCCGCTGTAGTACTATGCTGTGCTGTTGAGCCGCTGTAGTACTATGCTGTGTTGTTGAGCCGCTGTAGTACTATGCTGTGCTGTTGAGCCGCTGTAGTACTATGCTGTGCTGTTGCGCCGCTGTAGTACTATGCTGTGTTGTTGCGCCGCTGTAGTACTATGCTGTGCTGTTGCGCCGCTGTAGTACTATGGTGTGCTGTTGAGCCGCTGTAGTACTATGCTGTGCTGTTGAGCCGCTTTAGTACTATGCTGTGCTGTTGAGCCGCTGTAGTACTATGGTGTGCTGTTGAGCCGCTGTAGTACTATGGTGTGCTGTTGAGCCGCTGTAGTACTATGCTGTGCTGTTGCGCCGCTGTAGTACTATGGTGTGCTGTTGAGCCGCTGTAGTACTATGCTGTGCTGTTGAGCCGCTTTAGTACTATGCTGTGCTGTTGAGCCGCTGTAGTACTATGCTGTGTTGTTGCGCCGCTGTAGTACTATGGTGTGCTGTTGAGCCGCTGTAGTACTATGCTGTGTTGTTGCGCCGCTGTAGTACTATGCTGTGCTGTTGAGCCGCTGTAGTACTATGCTGTGCTGTTGAGCCGCTGTAGTACTATGCTGTGCTGTTGAGCCGCTGTAGTACTATGCTGTGTTGTTGCGCCGCTGTAGTACTATGCTGTGTTGTTGCGCCGCTGTAGTACTATGGTGTGCTGTTGAGCCGCTGTAGTACTATGGTGTGCTGTTGAGCCGCTGTAGTACTATGCTGTGTTGTTGCGCCGCTGTAGTACTATGGTGTGCTGTTGAGCCGCTGTAGTACTATGGTGTGCTGTTGAGCCGCTGTAGTACTATGCTGTGTTGTTGCGCCGCTGTAGTACTATGGTGTGCTGTTGAGCCGCTGTAGTACTATGGTGTGCTGTTGAGCCGCTGTAGTACTATGCTGTGTTGTTGCGCCGCTGTAGTACTATGCTGTGCTGTTGAGCCGCTGTAGTACTATGCTGTGCTGTTGAGCCGCTGTAGTACTATGCTGTGCTGTTGAGCCGCTGTAGTACTATGCTGTGTTGTTGCGCCGCTGTAGTACTATGCTGTGTTGTTGCGCCGCTGTAGTACTATTGTGTGCTGTTGAGCCGCTGTAGTACTATGGTGTGCTGTTGAGCCGCTGTAGTACTATGCTGTGCTGTTGCGCCGCTGTAGTACTATGCTGTGCTGTTGCGCCGCTGTAGTACTATGCTGTGCTGTTGCGCCGCTGTAGTACTATGCTGTGCTGTTGAGCCGCTGTAGTACTATGCTGTGCTGTTGCACCGCTGTAGTACTATGCTGTGTTGTTGCGCCGCTGTAGTGCTATGCTGTGCTGTTGCGCCGCTGTAGTACTATGCTGTGTTGTTGAGCCGCTGTAGTACTATGCTGTGTTGTTGCGCCGCTGTAGTACTATGCTGTGCTGTTGAGCCGCTGTAGTACTATGCTGTGCTGTTGAGCCGCTTTAGTACTATGCTGTGCTGTTGAGCCGCTGTAGTACTGTGCTGTGCTGTTGAGCCGACGCATTCCTTGTGGCAGCTGAAGCAAGAGGCGGCCACACATTACGACAAGCTGAGCTACATGGAGGCCAAGAGAGCCGAGCTGCTGGACGAACAAAACGCCCGCGAGACTCCTGAGCAGGAACGAGAGAGACTGCTCAAACAGGTCAGAGCGAGAGAGATGTTTTCAACAGGCTAACCTGCGTCCTGTACCCCGTTAGAGACCCTGGATTTCCGCGTCCTGTTCGGGGCCGTGGGCTAATACACCTTTTTGCAATTGAATTCAACCATTGGCCATAACTGTTTGAGGAGCCATTTCGACAATCGCCATTGAGCACAACTATTCCGGCGTCGTGTGTTTCATTTCAGCCATTCGACAAAACAGATTGAACACTGAAATGAGCGATCTGCAAAACAGTTTGACACTTCACCATGACTTCGGCAATAAGCAAGACTCCTCGGCATTTGGTGATATCACTTCAGCAATGTTCAAAACAGAATAAATGGATATCCAGGCTGTTTTTTCAAATGGATTAAACCCACCTCGACCATTCACCACTTAGCGTGAGGATTATGGGCATTTCTAAGCAATAAGTCAGCCGTTCTTTATAGCTTCTTTCTAAATGGAACAGTACGAAAATTGTCAGCCAAGCCATGCAGTACGTGTATCTTACCGGCGAGCAATGCCAATCAATGCCGCCGACATTTTTGGCTTAAAATTACCTTTGACGTCATTTAGTCAACAAGAAAAAAAATACAATGTGCTCCCTCGGGTTTTTTGTTTTTGCTTGCAATGTTTTGCTTGCAATGCTACACATACAGCTGAATTCAATGTGTGAAATGCATGCATTGAAGTCATTTCCGTCAATGCGCCATACAATTCCAGCCTAGAACGCCTACGTTGGTCGTTGGACACTTCATAACATTTTTTTTTTAATTAATTCACCTATTCAAAGACAATTTCTTTATTGGCACATCGAATAAACAAACTGTCCTCATGGCGGAAGCTGACGAACACCATGCACATCTGCCATGACGGTCGCCTTGGTATCCTGGAACTCCCTCATGAGGGCAAGGTTTCGCCAACTCATGAGGCCTATCTAATTTAGAGCCCCAGGGCAATACCGTTCACCTGACTTAGAATGAGCGTTGAATGAGTCAGAATGAGTCAGTTTTTTTTTCTAAAAAAAACTGACTGTTTTGGGAAAATAATTATCAAATCCAAAATTTTGAGTGTATAAAAAAAAACGGAATATGTGTCAGAGAAGTAGTCTATGTGCACCTACATACCAATTTTTAGAAGAATCGGTTCAAAAATGTGGGAGTTATTCAAAATTTTATGACGTCACGACACACAATTTTTTAAATGTTTTTTTTTTAAAGTTCTAGACCTCGTACGAAAACAAAAATAGCACCATTCGATTCGCCGTGAAAAACTGCATCAGATAGACACCTTTTTAGGCCTTAACAACCAACTTCAAACTTTGACCTCACTTGACCTGACCTTGACCTGACCTCGCCCTGAAATTCATCCAGAGGTGGTCCATATCACTTATTGAGTGTGCCTATTGAATTCTATGAGTAAAATGACCCATAAAACATGTGTTGCACATGCCCTTTTCTATATTTTGTTTTTGGTGACCTGACCTGACCTGACCTGACCTTGACCTTTGAATGACATTGTATGTAACAAATATTGTCTTGGTAGTCTAAGAACACGTTTTGGGCAATCAGTCTCATTCCATTCTTCGGCAACTACGGTGCAAGACCGATACTGTAGAAACTTGCATTTTGTACCCTTGACCTGACCTTGACCTGACCTCTGACCTACTTAAGCAAAAACAATTGGGCTCTTTAGATCCGCCTTGTTGAGAGCTTTCGATTGCCGTTTTCGCCGTCTTTCTACGACCATCGGTTCGGAAGTTAGACAGGGGGGGGCAGAATCTGCCCCCCAGCAGGGCGCGTATGGCTGAATAGCCCAGCGGGGCGCGGGTTAAATGAGGGACATGTCAAGGATTGGGCCCCATGACCTGCTCCATACCCCCTGCGGCCGCCAGTGCACGTTGTCATTTGTTTCGAACATTGCTGATCTGTTTTTCTGAATGCTGAAATTTCCATAGACGGATAGACGGTTTTGGCCAATCATGAATTTCCGGCTGCTCAATGACGAATAGTTTCCGACCATTGACGATTTGTTTTGCACAATGTTGAACCATTCACTCAATGTCGAGATGTAGAGGAGGATCGCCGAACAGTTTTGCACAATCGTGATTCTTTGTGCCCATTTGTAGCGCCATCTATATGCCGAATGTGTACAAATGTTTTGCCCAATGGTCAAAAGCTAACGCAAAAACGTGTAGTACATATACCCAGGTTTCTAACTCGGCTCCTTGGCCAGTAGCAACACGCGGTAAGCTGCGATATATATATATATGTTGCAGGCACTTTAGAAAATCAGTCATTTTGTAAAATGCCTAGGCATTTTACAAAAAGACGGCTGTTTGAAAAATGACTGAACGCAACCAGGCTTTTTTCAAAATGGCTAGCCATTTTGCAAAATGACTAGGCATTTTGCAAAATGCCTGACCAGCATGGAACGTAGATCCCACTACAGATACTATGGCCAACAGTTTTTGGACGTCTTCCTATATACGAGTACCCTATAGGTACGTGTTCAGCCTGTCAGCTGATCGATTTGAACCTCTGTGATGACGACAATGCTGAGTAACGACCAGGTTGAGTTGCAGACTCGGCTGTAGCATAAAGCATTGTTTAGTTAAAGGGACCCTCCCACCTTAACATTAGATTTGAGTTGAGATACCCAAAATGGGGTCCCTGGCTCACAATTACCGGTTTCGGCACTGACAACATTGAGAAATGCCTTAAATCGGAAATATTGAATTTCAAAATTGCAGCATTTTGATTCAGAGGGGCTAATGCATAGGAATACCCCTCTGAATGTGTGACGTCAGCGCAGATATCTAACGATTTTTAAATGTTTGACTAAAACGTTTTGTAGCACGCGGTGGTATATGCTGCTTTGCGCGCAACAAGTGCCGCACTTTCAGCTGCCAAACTATTGCTTCCAAATAAAGTCGCTAGGAACAGCGGAGATCCCAAAAAGTAAACAAAAGTAAAAGTCTAATATCTTGAAAACCAGTGAATATTTTTCGGTGAAATTTGGTAGATATTCGTTTTTGCTCTTTCTGAACCGAGCAACATCACTTTCATGCCAATACATTAACTTTTTTGAAGGTGGGGGGGTCCTTTTAAGGCAGACGTGGGCACTGACGAGCCGTCGGCGAACCTCCTCCTTGTTGGCAGGTGAAGCGCGACAATCAGGAGATGGGTGCGCTGGAGCGGCGAATCCACGAGCTCAGAGCCGAAATCACCAAGTCGGGCGAAGACCTGGAGATAGCTGAAAATGTAAGTTTTATGCAAGGTTACCAAGGTATGTGATAACGATAAGCTGCATTTGTAAAATGTTTTTCTAACACCGGCTTAATTGTTTCAATGGAAACTTTTAAGGGCACTTCGGCTCCCTTCTTCCAGGGTATATTGAGTGAAGGGTAGGACGCATTTTGGTAGGAATTTCTAGGATAACTACTAGAAAACCTACTATATATGGTCGGGACTAGTAAAAGTTAAGTTCACACTAGAATATAGTACATCAGGGGCGAAACGGCAAGTGGGGTCCAACGGACCCCCCCCCCCCTTATACGTTCGCGGCTGGAAAAACACCAATACGGGCGAGGGTTAAAACATCCATACACATAACTATAAATCACTTGCAGTATAGCTGAATGTTTAATATAGCATATTGCACTTTTCATATATTGACGACATTTCTCTTTTCCCATACCTGCTACATTGCATGATGAAATCGAGACATCCAGGCAGGCATTTAAACGGCACGTGCACTGTACCACACTTTTCAAAGTTTAATGCAATGCTTTAACCCGCGCCCTGCTGGGGGTCCTGGATTTCCACGCCCTGCTGGGGGGGGGGTGTTTGAACACCCCCCCTTCTAACTCGCCTCCTGGGCCACGTAGCGATACGCGGAAGGCGGCGTTCGAAAGGGCGTCAAAAATAATGAGGAAATCACTTCGGTCAATTTTTTGGTCAGGTCAAAGGTCAGGTCACCAGAGGTCATTGAAGGCAAAATTTCGCCGATTTCCAGGTCGAATGTCGAAAATTTCCAAGAAGCCAACGCATAACTCGGGAACCAATAGAGCTACAGCGCCGCAGAAAAGCGCATTCGATAGCCCTATTAACGCCCTTTCTGAGTAATTTTCTCAGATTTGACCTAACGTCAACGGTTTTGCCTGCAGGGGGCAAAAACTGCAAAAATAGCCGATTTTTTCGGAAACAGTTTTTCTGCAATAACTTTTGACCCAAGCCTTGTACGAGCTTACTTTTACCGGCATCGTGTTCCTCTCGTCAAGACGCATCGAATGAACTATAACTTGACCTTGAAAGGTCAACTTGAAAATTTGACCTCAGGTCAAGGTCATGACCTGACCGGGAAGGGTCATGTTGCATATCAGTCGATCCGTATCGTCGAGCTGAACACATCTATGGCGTTTTCATCGCTCTAGCATGCCTCTATCAAAAGTTATTTGCGAAAAACTGTTAGATACCATTCGTGACCTAAGATGACCTCAGGGCATAAACAGGGGTCACGGACACCATTTTCATGTTCAGTGTGTCTAAACCACTTGTAATTCAGTGTTTGGGAGTGTTTATAATGTCTTTCGTCCAAAAGAGGCGCATTTCAATTTTCTCCCATTGACTTATAATGGGGAGGTCGCAAAATTGACCTGACCTTAGGTCATCGATATCAAAATTCTGAGATATACATTTTGTACATGCTATTGCTCTTAGCAATCGCTGAAAGTTTCAAAGCGATCGGTCACTCGGTGTAGCTATGACAGACATTGAAACTTTTTATGAGGTGAGGTCACTTCAAGTGACCTGGTGACCTGACCTTGAATGACCTTGGTCTGAAATTTTCACAACATGTGTAGAATTGATGTATGATAAGGTGTACCAAAAACGGCGGCGCTCCGCGCCGCCGTTTTTGAGATATTCGCGAAAAACCACAAGGGGGGGTGTTCAAACACCCCCCCCCCCCAGCAGGGCGCGGGTTAACCCGCGCCCGGCTGGGGGTCCTGGATTTCCACGCCCTGCTGGGGGGGGGGTGTTTGAACACCCCCCCCTTGTAACTCGGCTCCTGGGCCACGTAGCGATACGCGGAAAACGGCGTTCGAAAGAGCGTCAAAAATAATGACGAAATCACTTCGGTCAATTTTTTGGTCAGGTCAAAGGTCAGGTCACCAGAGGTCATTGAAGGCAAAATTTCGCCGATTTCCAGGTCGAATGTCGAAAATTTCCAAGAAGCCAATGCATAACTCGAGAACCAATAGAGCTACAGCGCCGCGGAAAAGCGCATTCGATAGCCCTATTAAAGCCCTTTCTGAGTAATTCTCTCAGATTTGACCTAACGTCAACGGTTTTGCCTGCAGGGGGCAAAAATTGCAAAAATAGCCGATTTTTTCGGAGACAGTTTTTCTGCAATAACTTTTGACCCAAGCCTTGTACGAGCTTACTTTTACCGGCATTGTGTTCCTCTCGTCAAGACGCATCGAATGAACTATAAATTGACCTTGAAAGGTCAACTTGACAATTTGACCTCAGGTCAAGGTCATGACCTGACCGGAAAGGGTCATGTTGCATATCAGTCGATCCGTATCGTCGAGCTGAACACATCTAAGGCGTTTTCATCGCTCTAGCATGCCTCTATCAAAAGTTATTTGCGAAAAACTGTTAGATACCATTCGTGACCTAAGATGACCTCAGGGCATAAACAAGGGTCACGGACACCATTTTCATGTTCAGTGTGTCTGAACCACTTGTAATTCGGTGTTTGGGAGTGTTTATAATGTCTTTTGTCCAAAAGAGGCGCATTTCAATTTTCTCCCATTGACTTATAATGGGGAGGTCGCAAAATTGACCTGACCTTAGGTCATCGATATCAAAATTCTGAGATATACATTTTGTACATGCTATTGCTCTTAGCAATCGCTGAAAGTTTCAAAGCGATCGGTCACTCGGTGTAGCTATGACAGACATTGAAACTTTTTATGAGGTGAGGTCACTTCAAGTGACCTGGTGACCTGACCTTGAATGACCTTGGTTTGAAATTTTCACAACATGTGTAGAATTGATGTACGATAAGGTATACCAAAAACGGCGGCGCTCCGCGCCGCCGTTTTTGAGATATTCGCGAAAAACCACAAGGGGGGGGGTGTTCAAACACCCCCCCCCAGCAGGGCGCGGGTTAACCCGCGCCCTGATGGGGGGCCCCCTGTGGTTTTTCTTAAATAGCGAGAAAACGGCGGCGCGCAGCGCCGCCAAATTTTGAGTACCTTACCGGGCATCAATTTGACTCCTTCACACAAAATTTCAAGTCACAGGTCACCTCAAGTCAGGAGTTATTGAGGTCAAACTGAGGTCATGTTCGAGTAAAAATGAGCAAAAAACATGACATCTTGAAACGCTCACCAATTCTACAGTTAACAAGCAATTTTAAAGTTCTTTATGTGGTTGTGTAGAGAAAGGACGGCGCTACAATTTTGGGAATTTGACCCCCAAAAATAAAAAAATAGATTTTTTTAGAAAAACTCAAAAAATTTTCCAAAATTTTTTTCGAATTTCGAAAAAAAACGGAACATATGTGATAGTCCCTGCGCTCTTCGATATACATACCAAATTTTAGATCGATACCTCTTTTTTGGCCAAGTTATAGCGGAAAAACTGTTAAAAATTGATGACGTCAAATTTTTGAACTCAATTTTTAGCAATTCTAGACCTCGTAGCGCAAAACAGAGACCACCATTGAACTCCCCGTGACGAGCTGCATCGGATCGATACCCATTTTATGCAAAAATATCAACTTTGAAATTTGACCTAATTTGACCTGACCTTGACCTGAACTTGACCAAAACGTGACCTAAGCTGGCCCTAAAGTCTGTCTGACCCACATAATCGTCATGTCATGTAAAATGGACCATAAAACATGTATCACACGACACTTTCATATTGTGACCCCCCCAGTGACCTGACCTCTGTGACCTGACCTGGTATCAGTGACCTCAAATAGCAAAATATGTGTTTGAAGAATATTTCCCCATCGATGATTTTCAATGAAATGCATTTTACACGATTTTACAACGCATTTCTTGAAATGCCTGTAAACGGTGAAAATTCGACCTTTGACCTGACCTGTGACGTCATCGGTTTGACCGAGGTCAATGAAATTGGGTCACAAGGTAGTTCCCCGTTGGGGTTATCCAACACCGTTTACCGCTTGTCGCTATGTTGCGTGGTTCTCGAGATCTGGGGGGGGGGGGGGGGGGGCAAAATGCTCCCCCCCATCAGACCGCGTAATTGCTCGGCAGACCCCATCTGGGCGCGGGTTAATATTAGGTACAAGCCGTGTGGTTCAAGGGGTGTGGTTAAACACGTTGAACCACACGGCTGCTGACGTCACTATCATAGTTGTGAGCTTTTTGGCAGGTATGGGAAACACCTTCCAGCCCTAAGGCCGGGAATTCAATAAATGGCACCTCGCCTTTTTTAGCAAAATCACCTCGGGCCTAACGGCCCTCGGAGTTTTCGCTAAAAACCTCGGTGACATTTATTGAATCATCCCGGCCCCGGGCAGGAATATACCCTCGCCCGTAAACGGTGTTTTGCCACCTTCGCCCATGCAGGGGAGGTTGGTGCGACCCCCCCCCTGGCGTTTGAAAACGGAGCGTCGTAGAGCTTAGCGGAAAAGACCAACGGATTGCTCTCAACGAGATCTCGCGATTGGTGGTATATTTTTGGTCCTAGGTCAACATTTGACCTACTTATGACCGGTCAAAGGTCAAATTTTCGGAAAAATCTAACTTTTTCAGATTTCCGTGCCGATTGCGGCGAAACGGTAAGAGATATCGACTTGAAACCTTTCCTATCGTAATCCTCGATCAATTTTCTATCGTTTGGTGTGTATTTCGATGTCATAACTCTAAAAATGATGCGTTGGGAGTGTTGTCACCGACCGCTGCTGAGCGGTACCCGCCGAGTCGCCGGCCGGCCCGCGCGGCTGCCGAGCCGGCCGCTGCGGCCACGTGGCGCCCGAGGCGTGTCTGACCTGGTGAGGTCATGCGCGGGGAGCGCGCTGATTGGTCGCTGGTGTCCCGCGCCGCGGGGGCACCAACGAGCTGATCTCGGGCGGGTGAGTCGTAGGCGGGTTCAGTCTGTGTGTGCATGTAACGCGGTCTGTTGGGGGTACGGAGTGAAGCTGGATTCCGGAGTGAATTGTGAGAAGTGACAATAAATATCCAGTGGTTGAACTCAGTGGCTGTGAGAGAAGTGACAGA